TTTGTTGAGAAATTCCCTTTCAAGGTGCCTTATCCAGTTAACATTGATATAAGAGACACAGTAAAGTACAAACAAGTCATGAAGGACTATGGGCTTGGTCCAAATGGCGCAATTATCACGAGCCTAAATTTGATGTGCACAAGATTCGATCAGGTAGGGTAGCTCATATTTCTTTAAAACTTTGCTAGAGGCTCCATTTTACTTTTCTCAGGTACTGACGATGATACGACAACGCGCTAGCCAGTATAGTGCTTGCTTGATAGATACTCCTGGTCAAATTGAGGCCTTCACTTGGAGCGCAAGTGGATCGATAATCACAGATTCTTTGGCTAGCAGCCATCCTACTGCAAGTTTTATGAGTGTACTTCGTTACCAAGCAGCAGATGTGACCTGCTTCAATTGTAGATAATGGAAATAATAAGAGAAGCGTTTAAAATGACAAAATCAAGCTCAAGAGAGAAATTATAGGTTTGCAATACATTCGTTAATAAACAGGCTTTGCAGGTTGTCGTATATGTAGTGGATTCTGCTAGAGCAACGAATCCGACTACCTTCATGTCAAATATGCTCTACGCCTGCTCTATTCTGTATAGGACAAAATTGCCATTCATCGTAGCTTTTAACAAGGTTAGTTTTCGAATAAAAACGTAATTATGGTCTATGTCATCCGTTCGAAAAGCGGAATCAAACCCATCCAAACCTTTTACCACTTTTCTATGTGCGGTGTAATCTGCTTAGAATGCTTAACAAACATATCAGGCTGACATCGTCTCTCCAGCGTTCGCTCGTAGCTGGATGCGTGATTTTGAAAGGTTCGATAAGGCCTTGGAGGAGAACCGGAGTTCTTACATGAATGATCTTAGTCGATCACTGTCCTTAGTACTAGATGAATTCTATTCAGATTTGAAGACAGGTAAAGCTCCTCTATTTCTGTATTTCAACATTTTTTCCTTATTTATTATCTTTAGTAGCTGTCTCCTCAGTCACTGGGGAGGGTATGGAGGATTTTATGAAAGTTCTTGGAGAATGCGTGGTACAATATAAAAATGAGTATATACCTATGTATGAACGTATATTGGAGGAGAAATTGAAATTGGATGAACAGGAAAAAAAAAGGAAATCAGAGGAGGTATGCTACTCATAGTCCAATGCACGCTCCCAAATAGTTATCGTTTATGCAATCATAGATCGCGTCTGAAATGGAAGTGTTGAGTTTACATCCACTAGAAGAACCACCACAAATACAAGAGAAAATTCATATTGGAGGTGTGGATGAAGAAAACGCAGAAGATGCGAATATACTTCGTGCTTGACGCTACAAACAGGATCTCTTTTCTGTTCATCGCTTGGTTGCTTGTTGAACGACGTTTGTACGGCAAATCAACTGTTGTTCCAATATCATTCAAAGTGTTGTTTCAGTACCGAAATTGAGTGTCACGTTAATAATAACTTTGAAAATCTTCAATCCAATGATTTGTTTCCTTTGTTATTGTTTTTTTTT